TCCAAGGAATCTATCCACCCCGACATTCCAAACAAACCTACCTGGAAGATATCACTGGCACATTTCCTACACAGGTTATGCTGACAGGGAAGAATGACCACAGGCTTCGTGAACATCTCCAAGCAGATGGGACAGATGAGCTGCTTCTCCAAGTTGTCCATGGTCTGCTGCTCTTTGGAAAAAGACTTATAATTCAAAGATGCGCTCATCTCCTAGCCGTCACGGTGTGCACCGCCAGGGAAGGGGTGCTCCGAATGGTCTCTACAAGGGTTTCCTGGAAATAATTCCAAGGATTGTGTGATCAAGTGTCCTTCATGTTTCTTTTGGTGGAGGACATTGTTTCAGGCCCAGGTTTGGAGCGGGAGCTGGGGCTGTTTTTAGCAGCTGGGGTCACGTGACAGAAGGCTGACTTGTCCATATAAGCCAGTGACAGGAGGACAGATTCTGACAGGTGACAGAGAACAGGAGCCAACATTCCTACCCCAGGGAGTGAAAAGAGTGAGTGGGAAGGAGGATTACACACTCCATTTAGATGGGGTTGTGAGGAGAAGGAGGTCGAAGCAGACAGTTGTCAACAACAAATGCGAATGAGTATGCTGAGGAGTCACAGAGCCCTGCCCTCTGTGAGTCTTTGGTAAGGACATGGTGACGGGTTTCTCCAGGACCGGGAAAAATGCAGCCCAGGCAAGAGTATAACTGTATAGTGAATGCCATTTCTGTCTTGAGAACTTAGAAAGTGAGTTATCCAAGTAGCATGATCATATCATCTCAGGTGAAAATATACCTTGAAAATCATTATCCCAGCTTCACGAGGACAATCTTTGAAAATACTTGCTCAGTGTTAAATATTACATCTTCACAAGGGTTGTGGTATGGAAAACATTCTAACTTAAAAACTGATTTCAAATCTTTTCACTATAAAAGTGTCTACAAAGTAAAAAAAAAAAAATCAAATAACAGTGGATGTTTCAATTATTTTTAAAAGCTGTGTAATAAAACTCCAGTGTGTTCTTTTCTGTTTTACATTGCTTTTCCTCTTCCTTAACCTTTTGTCATCCTGTACCCTCACTCTCACCCCTATACACACCCCAAAATACAAAGAAAATGGAACAATCTTTAAAAGGTTAAAACAGTTTGCAATGACTGTCAGTAATGAGGTAGTAACTGGCACCTGGGGTAGACCCATTATCTCATTTTGATATATGACGGGTGACAGATATCAGTGCCATTGCCAACTGAAGAGAAAATGAAGTCCTGCTTCCATACCTGTTTCTTATCTGGTCTGAAATACCTACACCTCTTTGCATTTGCTTAGTCCTCCAAGTTGATTTTTTAAATGCTAGTTTCCTGGTGGTTTCTGATATTCTTGGTCTGTTCTGTTATTTGCCAAGATTTTGTGAAACAACTGTTTCATTAATATATATTTCATTAAAAATTTTAAATTATATTAAAAATGAAAAAGAAATACATGTCTATTTTTTTATGTGATGAATTTGTAGCTTCATTCCTCTTTGATTTTAAAAACCTCAAATAATGAAGATACTTTGTTAACATATCCCTGATGTGCACTTAATTACCGGTACAGACTATGTAGGTGTGACTGGTTAAGTGTGGTCTTAATGCTGTGTTTACTGAGAGCTTATTGGGAATCTAAAAAACTCCATTAACTAATAATAAGTTACATATATTCATAAACATATCAGGGATCTTTGGAGAATTTTGTTATTCTTTTCAATATCTATTTAGCAACTATAGTGAAGAAGGGAATTGGTAGAATCTTTTTACTGTTTTAATTCAGTTCAGTCAGCCTGGGCAGTTAATTGTGTTTATTATTGTGTGAGCTATGAAGGTCTGAGCGCAATAAAAGAAAGTTTCTACTCTAAAAGCCCTTGCAACCTAAAAAGAAAAAAGCACTTAGCCCAGCTGGCATGGCTTAGTGGTTGAACATCAATTTATGAACCAGGAGGTCATGGTTTGATTCCTGGTCAGGGCACATGCCCAGGTTGTGGGCTCAATCCCCAGTGGGGGGAGAGGTAGGGTTATAGGAGGCAACCAATCAATGATTCTCTCTCATCATTGATGTTTCTATCTCTCCCTCTCCCTTCTTCTCTGAAATCAATAAAAATATATTTTAAAAATAATAATAAAGAAAAGCACTTAAACTAATGATATACTATAGTATAGCAGAGTCTATCCTTATAAGAGGAATTCATTCTTTCAAAAAAACATTCATTGAGTGTTTATCATGTGATTCCATTGTGCTGGGCTCTGGGGATTGAAAGACGAAGTAGACACAGGTCATTGTCCTCAAGGAGCTCAGTCTAACAGTAGAGATGAGGCATGCATATGCAGAACCACAGTATAAGACAACATGTTATAAAGAGCTACAGAATTTCAGAGCTGGAGGAGTTAGGAAGACTTCATGGGTGGGGTAGCATTTGAATTGATCCACTGAGGAATTTAGGTGGGTCATAGGTGGAGCTTCTTAAGAGAAGGCACAGAAGCAAAAACTGTGAGCACAGGAGAGCTGGGAATGCCCAGAGTTGTATGGTGCTTTGGGCTGGAGTACAGAGCATAGTGCTGGCTCATTGGCAGGCCAGGCACACCAGGCTAAAGAGTTTTCAACACTTAATAAATTAGACAACAGGAAATGTTAAAAGCTTCTCAGAGGGATGTTTCCATGAGAGCTGTGCATTGGTTAGATTATAATCTCACAGTGGTGGTTGGAAGTGACAGTGACCTGGCTAAAGACCAGATGGGAGGTTGTTGCCAATAGCCTGGGTGAAAGGTCACAAAGCCCTGGTGCCAGGCGATGGCAGTGGGGAAGGAAAGGAGGAAATGGACTCTGGGTTGACTACAAAAGTAGAACTCACAGAGATAACTCAGATGCCCTGAGTCTGAGCAATGAGCAATGATATGGGAAGCTGCACAGTGAGTCAGAGACAGGCCTATCCAGCACTGATGGCCTCCTCGCTTTGTGATCTCAGGGAACTGACCTCACCTAGCTGGATTTCAGTTCTCTTATCGATAAGTGAGAGTACTTCAGAACCTAATTTAGCAGCATGAGTAAGGAAACCCCCCTCCCCTCTGAAACAGTATTAATTTTGACATAGAGAATCCCCAATTTGATTACTTAACATAGAGTTGATCCCTATCCTCTCCTCTTTTTCCCTCTGCTCCTTCTTGCTCTCTGCCTTTTACTGTTTCTTAGAATTGCCTCTGGAGGCTACACAGGAAACTAGAAAGAATCCCATAGGAATATGAGTGAAGTTGATGGGTAATTATTTCCTTTTCCTCCTCATCTGCTTTTCTCCATTCCTCCATCCTCTCTACTCTCAGAGACCAGCAATCTATACGGTGGGCATGTGAGTTGAGAATGGGACATGGCAGTAGCACTCTATCCTAGGGAGGAACCAAAAATTTTTTTAGTCCACTCCCAAATCATTCACAGAGTCTAAGAGACAGGTAGAATTCCAGAACTGAATCAGAATTAAAGTCTGGTTCAAGTCATTGGGATTTGGAGTGGACTTGGGCCTCCACAGAGACATGAAAACCAGCCCAATCTCCTGAAGGTATCCTGGACTCTATAGGAGTTGGTGCATGACTGCCTCCCCCTTTCCTACCCCATCCCTCCCCACACTAGGACAAGGGGTTGAAGCCAAATGGGAGCAATTAGTTGAAAGCCCCAACTTCCCCTCATGCCTGAGTCTCACTAGACTGGGGCAGGAGTATGTTTAGACATTTAGAAGCTGAAGCAAAACCACCACTGCTCTCACCTCCTCCAGCAATTTCCCAATACCCAGGTAAGTCAGAGGATGAAAGATGGGTCTCTAAAAACCTGAGTAATTCATCAAAAAAAAAACAGAGAACTTATAGTCAGATAGAACTAAAGGGAAGTAGACCATAGATACAGTTTGAAGTAAAGCAGCGAGGCAGAGAGGCCCTGGTGGTGTACTGGGCTGCATATCTGGCACTTCAGCCAGATGGGGCGTGCTGTGCTGTCTGTTCCTAAAACACATAGATAGGAAGGTACTAACATCAGGCCAGGTCTTGAGATATAGTCTCATGGCCCCTTCCTGGCACTCTGTACTCTCTGTTCCTAGAACATATAGATAGGAAGGTAGTCACTGTATGATGCTATACTGTGTCGAGAACTAATTATGTAAACAAGGCTTTGTAACTAACTTTGTGGTTTTTGCAAATGAAATTGCTGTAATTCCTGTAGTCTGGACTGCAGTTCAGCCTTTGCTTCGGCAGGGTGCTATAGCTCTAGTCAGCTGGCCAGCTTAATAAAGGCTCTTAAATTTAAATTCTGAGTCGGTGGTCTAGTGAACCCATAACATTGGAAGAGAAAACAAGAATTGCCTTATAACACAGACTCAACTCATAGCATCTAGAAAATACTTAACATTTTCCTCTGTCTACATTGTCAGTCTTTTCAGTTTAGCTGTCTATCTGCCAATAGATAGTTTGGATATGTGGTTTTTAAATTTTTTAATGAAAAAAATTTACAAAATCTAAAATTAAAGAGAAATGAACTACTTTGAAAAGTACTTAGCAGAAGCCAACACTATGGCATTTCTTTCATTAGATAGTTTGCAGACTTCTGGCTGAAAGCTTTTTTTCTTCATATTGATAATTACTCCTTTTCCAAATCTGTTGTTTATAAATTTTACTTCATCATAAATATCTCCGAGGAAATGTTTGAAAGCCAACATATGGTACTTCCCTCTGAATATTCCTTGGCATAATCCACATGCCAGAAATAAACAGTGACTACCAAAAAGGAGCAAATATTTTAGCTAAGGCTTTCCATTGGCCATGTCTGAACTCCTCACCTTGGCTCCAGGCCATCCTTGACTCCATCCTCAGCATATACAATTCCCCCCTACCTCCCCTCCACCACAGTGTCCTAATTGATTTCCCTGAATTTACTCTTGCCTTCTGCAATCTATTTCTCATATGTCACTCCCTATTTAAATCCCATTAATGGTCTTATTACCCATAGGATAAAGATATTAATCTTCCCTGTGGTCCCTAAGGCCTTATCTGGCCCTTATTTATCTCTCTGACCTAACTACCCAATAGAATAAGATCTGAGTGATATATATGAGCTATATATATGATTTAAATTTCTAGTAGCCACATTGAAAATCAGAAACAAATAGAATTATTGCATTAATATATTCTGTTTAACCCCCAAACATATAAACTATTATCATTTCAACATATGATCAATATTTTTTAAAAATGAGATATCTGTAGAGATAGTTTTACTTCTTCCTTTCTAATCTAGAAGTGTTCTACTTCATTTTCCTTGCCTTATTACACTCACTAAAAACCC